CGCCCCGCCCTGGTAGAGTTACGTTTGGGTGCCGCCTTTCTTTTCGTGGTCTTTGGTTCTTCAGACATTTCTTCATTGACTATCGATGAAGGCTCAGTGATATCTTCTGTTGGTATGCCTGAATGATTTTGCAAGACCATTAATTATTAGATCATTAACAAGCTTCGTGTAGTGTGTACAAAGAGTATTTCAGACGTCTATTTTACGCATGTCTTCAAACCAAAACCTTATACGGCAGAAGAATGGATCAAAAATACTGCTTCAAATAAATATCTTGGCGAGACGTGTGACAAATTTTTTGAAGTTGACAAATTTGACAGTCCTATCAAAGATCCATAGCAATACACTTATCTACAGCTTACATACCTCGACTTTCCAGTAATTTGAGCAGTTCCTAAGTTTCTTTTTCTTATCATTTAATACGACTGCAAACTACAGAACGCGTTTGAAAGCGTATGAGCCTCCATAACAAAATCTGTACAGAAAATGAAAATTCTCATCAATGTGTACCTGACTCAATAGTTCCTTATCCCGTTCTTGTGCAGACATTCTCGCTAATGCGTTTGTCATTTCGCATAACGACAATCTCTTTCCTTTAGTTCTTCCTCGAACTTTGCATTTGCTTCCTGGTATCGATTTATACTGTTAGTACAGTGTCCCAAAGCTCGTTTCAGCATGACGCATAAATTATTGTTAATCGACACGATACCTCTACAAAATTGATCTGTTTGGTTGCATTATTCATCAACTCTCTCCACATAATCGACGATGGTCGATTGTTCACTGGATTTCCATATGTCCACGATAGCTGTCTACTAAATAAACCCGCAATGTCAGAATAGAGAACGTTCAATTTGTTACTGGATCTCAACGACGGGTCACCATTTGTTCATCTCGCTTTGATTTGCTAGCGCCTTCTCGCCCTTCACAAGCTAAAATGTACTCGGTTTTAGTTTTATTTACTCGCAAAAGAGAAAAAACATTCGTCTCTTATTCTATCTAAGCATACCTCATAGTGACTATTGGCTCTGATTTGACACAGAGTCCATGGATAACTATAAGCTACTTTTCCTTTGAGTCCTTTGACATGCCAACAGCATTATTCAGTAAATCGTAGATGATTACTACAAGAAATAAAATGTGACTTATTCGTTCAGGAAAATCACAAGTCTCTTTGCTACAAAAAAGGTCGTCAGCCTCTACCTTTAGCTTCCCAGAACCTAGTACAGTCTGTCAGGACGACTTCACAAACCAAGTCTGTTGGTAAACACGTCTCTATTTCAGCATAAAACTTGGGCCGATACCAGGTCGTTTGACAGTACAAGCCTAAAGATCCTAAGCTAGCATCTGATTCGATGCCGAAAAGTCTCGTTGAGTGAATTTCGACTGCCATCATCGACACGGGTGTGCCGTCGATCATATTTATCCCGCGTTTGTCACACCCGATTGATTCCGCAATTTTCCATTATTAATATTAATATTTACTATTACTATCCAAACCATTTTTTATTTAACCATCATAATCATAGAAACAGTCATATCTATAGAACCTGATTTTATAAATACCATCTCTTTATTAATATAAAGAGAAATTGAACATAAGGGTTATAGCAAAACTCAATTTTTATTTCTAAATCTTAATTAATTCCGCAAGTTACCAGTCAAACTTGACATTTTTATTCCAACAATTAGTTATTGATTAAACATGTTTCTAATAAAGAGTTTAAACTTGAAATTAAACAGATCACGGACAAACGTTATGGTTTTTAAGAAATGGTAATGAAAATTTGAAGGCCTTAAATCTTAACTTTTCTGGTATTGCTACTGTAATAAAAGTGTACCGCTTTATCGAATAATAATTGTCTGACTTTGGTCTTACGTACATTACTTAAATTGCTACCGTAATTCTACCTCTTGCAAAGCGCCTTGCGTATATCTAGCGATTACAACGGGATTAAGCATACTGTAAATGCGGATGTTTGTGAAATTTTTTCCCCATCTTTATAAGTAGGGACATAAGGCGATATTGTCGCTCGATCTATTGATGGCAAACTAAGAAGGCAGAACTGGGTTATTGAGTAAATGTTTTTTCATCGCTTTTGAAAAGAAAACACTATATGGGCTGGTTTTTTATTAGATCTTTAACGTTGTAATAGTAATAAAAGTGCAAAGACACGATGACTGTCTGTTTAAAGGGTGCTGAACTGTTAGAAGATAAAGAAATTCACCTTCCACGAAAGGAAGAATAGTATATAATTACGGGGAAAACTTGCGGCTGCACCATCGTAGGTGTGGACAATAAAGAATGAAATTTTTATAGAAAAATTCCGTTCTCCCAAAATCAGATCTTTCGGAAAATGGTAGCAATCGTTGTAAGATACAGAGACTGTTGATTGTGTTTATTATATAAACATTTCGTTATTTCAATGTCTCAATAATTGCTGCTTAAGTACAAAGCTGATTCACATTCAATGCGTTATCTGCAATTCACGTTCGACAGCAGTAGTTGCCGTGCCGTGTATCTACATACAACAAAATCACTGTAACCATATGAAGGCTATAGCGTAACTCTAAAGCATAGCAGTAAGAAAAAAAAAAGAGGAAACAAAGAATAAGGATTTCGCGGGCAAAGACCAAAAGAATTATTAATTGCTGAATTTCCTAACTTGAAAAGCTATAATTAATCATCAAAACACGCGTGTGTGATAGTAAACACAATTGCATATAATACAATATTGTAGCAGATTACACGCGTGCTTATAAACAATGTTCGGGCTAATAATCATATATCTTACATTTGCTATCAGGATAATAATATTGCCTATAGTCAATCATTTTCACACCAGTTGAAAATGTTTCAATCTTCAAGTTACGTTCCATAGTATCTAACCTGTCTTCTGAATATAAACAAACCCAACAAAGATATACTCCCAACTAAAACGGAGTTAAAGTCAGAATAATTGAATACGTCTTATATAAGTCGATAAATAAACAATCATACTTACTATACCACCACTGATATCAAATTCTATAATAACATCATCCTCAGACAAAACATTTACCGTACATGGTAAAATGCATTCAGCGTAGTCGACGTTAAGTTCAATGTCCGTCTTATGTTGTATTTCTTCAGTCGATGTTTTTATTGTCGTCTGCAAATCAAAATGTT